CGGCGATTTGTCGCGCACACTTTTCAAACACTAATAATCATATAACCCGACTATAATTGTGCGTAATTACTGTTTTTATTCTATTTACCCTTTACCTGAATAATAGACTCGCTTTTCAATTGCATCTCATTTGTTTCAATTTGTTTGATTGCATTTATTTAATCATTTAACGCATGTGTAATGTTTATGTTTAATTGACCCAATTTGTTGAATTAAGAGAGCTGTAGCCCGCGTGTGTTTTTGTATAAATATTGATTGTTATTTTATTAGTGGAATGCGTGTCGTAACTGACTACTGCTCAAGTAGAAAATGAGCAAACAATGTGTGAAAGACTGGAAAAACCTCTCAACAGGCTAATCGTAAATTTCCCCTGCAATGCGCAGTGCATCGCACGCCGCCCAGGGTGATATATTTTGTTTAAACAGTAATTTTTATCATGAAAATAGTGCAGCAGAGAAGCAACAGAGGATGAAACGAATAAAACGCCGAGACTGCAACGGTGATAAATCCCTGCCGGGACGTTACCAGCTCCAATCCTTATTTTATGACCAAAGAAATCGTCGCCGGCGACAGGATGGTGTTTAAAATGTGTCGAAAACTTCAAAGCACAACCTGTAAAGATTTATTTCGTAGAATTTAATTATTAAATGTTGAAAATATAAATATTTTCCCATTTCACAACTATTATCCTCGCAAATACCGGTTGATATGCGGCACACGTTTCTCACATAAACGCCGGCCGTAAAAAAATTAATAAATTTGTTCCAAAACGACGGAAAAATGTTTTCTTTATCCTTTGCGAAATCAAATTTTACGAGTAATAAATAATAAAAAAAGAGCTCAGGCAAATAAAAATAAAACCGCATGGATGGAATAAAAGCCAAAGACAAAGCGACTGCAGCACACAGGCACGGTTTTTGGGCGCAAAAATAAATTAGATGCGGGAAGAGAGCACGTTAACGGCGAAAAGAATTGCGCACCGGAAAAATGATAGAAAATGGAGAAAAGAAAATTCAATATCTCACTGCGGATATTAAATCGAGGTCGCGCATTTTGAATGTACGTGTTATATCTTCTCTGTGAAGTCGCAATGATATCCAAATGTATCATGCAAAGTAAATTGTGCTAAAAGTTCACAATTGTTGAATAAAAAAAATCGAAAAAAATAATAAAACAGCAGTGTTTTTTTTAAATTTAATTGAATACAAGTGTGATTAGTTTTTTAAAATAAAAACTTAAAACAGTTTGTATATAAATAAAACATGAACGTCGTTGGTGTTGGCGGATTTTGCGGCACTTTGCTATTTTTGTCGCCGTCGCAGCGTGGACTGAAAGGCGAATTTTCATGGTGCGTCACTCGGCATAAAATCGTTAATCGAGAAGAAATTATTTCGAAAATTTCGTTTTCCCAGTATGGCCGCTCTCGAAATGACAAATTAACTACACGAAAAACCATTCCGACGCAATTTTCGCAGCTTTTAGTCGGTCGCAAGTTAAAAAAAAGGGTGTCAAACACATTTGCCTCGGCAATATAAAATCAGTTAAGTCGTTTTAATATCAATCCACATTAAAAGTTTGCAATTTGTGTTTACGAGCGAAAGTATGCAATTAAATCGTCAAAATACTAAACTTTAGAAAATCACAAATAACAAACATTAAAAAAAATTAAACGTAACTAGTTTTTCGCTAGGAAATGATGCAAAAAACACATTAATTGTAGATAATCGCCGGCGTGCTACAGTTATGCAATTCGCGTATTTTCAGACTAATGGCCCCCGCCAATCAACTCTCCGGATAAACGGAGTCAATTACAATTTTACTCTCTGTACACACGGCATTTGCGCATTCGACTGTACGCGATTTACAAGTGCAAGTGCATTCGAGTTGCTTCCAGTCAACCCGAACAACATCATCATCATCGCTAACGAGATGCATTATCCCGGGTCGATCGCATTAGAACAATTCAATTCAATTGACTGACAATTCACTCTCGCAGACCAATTCGACTCTCGGCCAACCGTAGTAAATGCGAATGCATCCAGTATTGATTTTTAATTTTCGTAGTGGAAATGCCCATTAGCCAAATAAACTTGAAAGACAAACGCGAATAAACAATATTCAAAGATGTTTTACAAAGTAAACATGAAGATCAAGCATGAATTACAGATCTTTACATAAAGTTTTTAAAAAATCTCTGCAAAATATCCACAATATAGTAGTTAAGCGGCTTAAGAGACGCGAAAGCAAGCAAAAGTCGCACAATGGATTTTATTAAACTTTTCATTCATCCTTCTTTATTTGTGTGTTTTTTTCGCTTGTCTTAGACAACTGGGGACACAATTTCCGTGCGGAGGAAACTCGGCCACCCCTCTACGGTACGATTCTTTTTAATAAAGATCTTGCAAACAACAAGGAGAAAAATATTCATCCCAAAAACCCCGCTTCAAGTGTAGGTGTACAGATGGAGATAAAGATAAAGATTTTGAAATTGAAATACAGAAAAAAAAAACGCGTAATATGGTGTTTGGTGCAGCGCACATTTTTCCAACCATTTTGCGTGCATTCGCGTGCAAGTTATGACCAGCAACAGGTATTATTACTTATTGCATTTGCTGCGTGTTGCAAAACACGTACACACACACACAAAAACCCACAGTAAGAGTAAATTACGAGACGTTTCCATCTGGAGCGGGAGAAATTGAAGAAATAAATTCAGCGCTCGCATGCGAGCCAATAATTAGGCGTATAAATAATTAAATCGGGGGAAATGAGATAATTGCGGATAAACACTTGCACGAAAAACCTGGCAAGAAAATTAGGATACAAATCATTACCTAAATTACACTACTTTAACCTAAATATTTTCAATATTAATTTAATTTTTTACTAATCAAATTTAATCATCGCTCGGGTGAGAGAATTAGAGAACCAAAACAAGATTACGAATTAACTAGTTAAATACCAAAGCTGGGAGCACGCAGTGTCCGTGTGGGCCGTTTGAAGGCCGATGCTTCGCCCATTTAGCCGTGCATTGCTACAAGTTTGTTGACCGTGTCGCTCTAGGAAGCGGTGGAATGGACAAACTAACGCAATCTACAGCTGCCAGCACAAAACAACAACAAAACGCTGCAGCGCGCGATTCATTGAATCCTCTGGTGTAAACATCACACCAAAAACCCACAAGCTAAATGATAGAGTATATAATTATAAGAAAGCGTCCGAGTCTCCAACCGCCTTGTATAGGTATGTAGACTTGTGGACTATGAGGATGCGAATTGTGGTCGGGGCTACACCAAGAAGTGACGATGCTGCTAAAGTAAACTAAAGTTGTGTAAAGTTGTCGCAAACGCAATATGACCGTAATGTTTGTTAACAAACTGAAATGGATTTCAGCGCGTGTTTGGGTGGTAACAACTTACGACTCTCTAAACAACGCTCGGCGGCCCAAAGTGGGATTTGATGCGATGACTAAGCCCACAGCGGCCACAGCTGTGCGCGTTGTAACCCAATGTCCAAAAGTGGACGTGCAATTAATACAAGTTTAGTCAAAGAGCAAAGCTTTAAACAAAGCTAACTCATACTAACCGAGTCAATATTGTAACACATCCCGAAACATCTGATCTGAGGACAAAAGTTATTGAAAGTAATCTTGAACTTTAAACAAGATCAATAATTGATTGTAAAAACATAGATAATCAGGTTGTAGACCTCATTTATCACATCCACTCGATGCCAATTAAGGTAATCGTAACTGGTGTCATCATCACATTTTGTCATTTAATAAATAACTCGATTTGATTGCGCACAGACTGGAAGCACACAAATTACATATTTCTAGTTTTCTCGTGGGAGTCGCTTTAGCACACACGAGAGTGCGTCACATTCGCAGAAATGACACTACATGTGCATAATTTTCACCCACTAGATATTTATCGCTTCTTCGCCTGATCGGATAATAAAATTAGTAAAGTAAAGCTAAACGCAATTTTCGCGATAAATTGTGAGGTGTCTCGTCATGTTGTAAACGTAATGTGTCGGTCGAGGCTTCCAAATAGAGTAAGTAAGTAAGTACGTACTTACTGACTATACTTAGAATGCTCAATACACAGACGCAGACTGTATTATACCTAAAATACCATCGTATGACGGCGGGGTTCGTCGAGGAGACAGTAAATAGCCATATAAAACGGCATTAAAACTACCTGTGCCTCTGTGTTACGGTGCTAAAATGAAAAGATGAATTTCCGCCCGAAAACATCAGGTAGATAAGGCCAGGCTTGTTTCTTAGTAGCAAAATATACAGAAAAACAACCTAAAAGAGCAAAAACTTATCAATAATTATAGGTGGATGAAATGGAAGCAACTTTAGTATAAACCAACTTAATAAATACTTAATCAGGTACTACTGGTGGCCAGGGTCGTCGAGTTGAAAGAGCATACATACTACTACCCTGAGATGTGAGTTGGGGTCACATTAAAAAATTCATGCGATTCCATGGAATTTTAATCCAGTTAGTGGCACTTTTCTAACATGGTACTTTTTCGGCACGCCGTAAATGTTGTTTTAAACGCCTGTTAAAACACCCACTTCGAAGTGTTTCGCCGTTTAATAGCTGTGCGTAACTGTGGCCGAACAATTTGGTTCTTGGTCCATCGCCGGGCGCTTTGTAAACAATGCGTAACCTGGTTGTGCATCGCTCGTGCCCGCGTAACCCGTTCGCCTATGTACTAATTAATGCCGGCGCGGTCACGCTCGGTGTCTCCGCAATTAAAATATTATAAATAGCGGAGTGCGGGACGGTTATTTTGACCAGTGGCCGCTCATCGGACACGATTTATGTCGAATTACATCAAAATTGGCGCAAATTGATTGATTACATGTGGATTTGTTTGTTTTCTTTGTGGTTTGTTATTGCTAGGTCTAGTTTTGAGCTGTGTGGTGTTTGCTAGTGGTTTTTGAATAAATAATAATAAAGGGGCAACGCAGTTTGGCACCTCACCATCCTTGAGGCTCTTGGAGTGCGCGGCCGGGGCCCCACTGCTGTGGCTCTTGTCAACCGTACAATACATACTCACGCGAGTTATCACAATCGCTTGGGGCACTCTCACCGAATCGCGTCGATCATCGTTTACGCGCTTTTTCGGTCGCGAGCTGCGGACACAACACACGCGGACGCGACACGGGAACTCAGCGGAACAACACCACTAACAACACCAGAAACTCACGGCCATTACTGACGCTTTCCGCTCGAGCCGCAAGCGCTCGCCGCATCGCGCTACAGATGTCGACCGTATGCGATTTGACGCCAGTTGGGCGTTTTGCCGCGCTGCCACGTACACAGGTCCTGGATTTATTCGTTAACATTTTTCAGTTTAACTTTTAAAGAAACTATTAGATTTATTAATAGTTTTATTGCTCGTTTCAACATTCTAAAGCATTCATTAATAGAACTACTACCACTTTGTATCTGTACAATTTGTATTTATATTTTAAGTTTAAGTGACATTGTATAAAAATAGCAACGTGTGTTAGAAGTTGCCTATAGCTAAAGTAAAAGTCTGCTTCAATAAAATGTAACAATGATGATAAAATAAAAAATAGAAACAACAAAAAATTGTATTTAATAATTTTTATCTCTTATTATTTTTAGTATTTTAATAAAATACGTTTTGTTAAACGATGTATGCTTGAGTACTGCTGTAAAAACAATACCTTGATGTTTTAAATTTGCGTAAATTTACAAAGAATTACACAACAAACATTCAAACATTACAAATTAGAACGGCAATGCGCTGCGGTATTGGCTGCGTGCGGTTGCACGAGGTTTCCGAAAACGCAACCGGCTACGGCGTTTTTGCTGAAACTGAAGCTGTAGGCGATGATATACTTCCGGCTGGGCAGCAGAATAGCGAATAGGTACGGCGTTTCAATCTACCTGTGGTTTATCACTAATGGGCGTGCTGGCAATGCCTTACAACTAATTCATATTATTAATATTTTTAATGATCCACAACAATGTCATGCAAAATGGAACAGTTAAAATCAATATCATCAATGTGGATCCAACTCACAAAACAACTAAAGCAGAAAAAGGTCAAACTAAAGATATTGTGTTTTGGTATAACAAACTACTCCTAGAAGCAAGCACAATTCTCCATATTTTGTTTTAGGTATTTGTATTTTCATACTCTATATTTAATACAAGATTCGTCGCTACCATGGTGGATTCAGCCTTTAGGATGGTATTTGCTGGTATTATGGAGTGCTTTTTGCATAACGGTTTGTACCGGAGTTGGAAGCAGAAAGTAAGTTATATACATATTATAGATTTTTTAAATAATAACCAATTAATACCTGGTAATTTTTAGATTTCAATCAAAACTTATATGCATTACCTGGCATTTCACCACCCTTGGTACAATGGGCTGTTCCAATTCATCTCTTGCCTATCTTAACTATCCAACACAGGTGATTTTTAAATGCTGCAAATTAATTCCAGTTATGATTGGTGGAATAATCATTCAAAAGAAATTATATGGAGTGTTGGATTTTTGTGCTGCTTCATTAATGTGTGTGGGCTTGATATTATTTACTTTAGGTTTGTTCTAATATAACTAAAAACACTTCTATAAACATTTGTTACATCTGAATCATCATTTTTAATATATTTTAGCTGATTCAATGGTTGTGCCTAATTTTAACATGACTGGTGTGATTATAATTTCAATCGCACTGCTCTGCGATGCAATTATAGGCAATGTGCAAGAAAAATCCATGAAATCACATGGTGCGACAAATGTTGAAGTGGTTTTATACTCTTACTCCATTGGACTTGCATATTTATTTGCATTTATGTTCATCAGTGGTGATTTATTCAAAGGATATGTGTTCTTTTCAGAGGTATAAACTAATATCACATTAATTTATTTTTACTTACTGTAATATCAATGTGGACTGAATTTTAGGATAGTTTAGTGAAATATGGATATGCATTTGTCTTCTCTTTGACTGGATATTTGGGTATCCAGATTGTGTTGACTCTAGTCCGAACTTGCGGTGCATTCGTCGCTGTTACAGTCACAACATGCCGCAAAGCAGTCACGATAATATTTTCATTTTTATTCTTTAGCAAACCATTCGTATTTCAGTACGTAACTTTATAAATTAAACACTTTACCTGTTTAATTACTTGTGTCTCATTTTTTAGGTATGTAACGTCTGGATGTCTGGTTGTCGCCGGAATATATTTGAATATGTATAGCAAACGTCATCCAACTGCTGGGCGAGATATCTGTCGCAAGTTGAATGAATTTTCGAGGTTGGTGAGACGACGGCGTACCGCGCGACAGTTTAGCAGGTTTACCACAGAATTGTAAATATATTATACATATTTATCGGAAATAAATATCTGCAATTTGCGTGTTGTGTGTTGACATACCTGCGATTGCGTTATCTATGATGCTGAAAGATAAAAACTAATAAATTACAGGAGTCATCCCCCACAGTGTTTTTTACACTTGTAGAATAGCACAATATTTTATTTCGAAATTTTCCTATATATACAAAAGTTTTTCGTATTTATCTCTTTATATCTTACTTAGAAGGGTATGAAAGTTCTATAAAATGTTTGTTTTATTTCATATTATATCCTAAACTATGGCATTTTCTTATACACAACAACATACAACTCTTTTCCTGCACTCTGTACTCCTACGCCTTCAATTTCCTGTATTTTGTCAACAAAATAAAAGGACTATTTAGATGTGTCACATATCGTTCATTGCGTGTGTGTGTGATTCGGTGTGTGGCTGTGTGTAATTGATTGTAACATATATTTGGTTGATGTATTATTTATCTGTTTGCGTGAATCATTGAAAATATTCGTGTTTTCTTGCCTCTGGACGAAGTTTACCCGGTTTGCTTCACGATTTATGACAAAATGGACGCTACAAGTTGTGCCGTTTATGCACGCCCAGGTTGTTGCTTCGAGTATGCATTGAATTCGCTAAAGAAATGCAGTCGTAACGTTGTACACAATCACAAATACACATTATAAGTTTTGCATCACACGACAATATAGGTAATAAATAGAATAAGAAGGTAGGCAACTTGAAACACAATCAAAAAGTTTCCGTTTCCTTTTTGCAGTTTGATTGTGATTCAAGTTATGCTAATGTATGACTACAACGTTATCAGTAAATACAGATTATGCCAAAGTATTTCACCAATGTGCGAATTATTCTCGGATTCCAAATCGAAGAAATCATTTGATTATTGCACTGCTAATTCACATCATCATTTGCTAACTCATTCAAGTAACCGAATCAACTAAACAGCTTTATAAACGTTTCGAAGTTGCTAATTGATTAAGTCAATTTCGTGTCGCGTCCGCAATGTAAACATGAATGCTATATTCGTTTTCTCTTCGGAAAACAAAAAGCATCGCTAAATATACAGTGTTAAGATTAAACTATAATAATCATAGTTCACATCACATACAATATACAAAGTTCCTGTTTCGCGCATCCCAACTATCTTTACACAATATTCATTAAGGTTTAAGTGAATTCTCAGCGATTCTCTGCTTATTCTTCATTTGCTTCCAGTGTGCCATTAGAAAAAGTCGTCGAAAAGTTGTAAAGATTTCTGTTTGTATAATATAGCTATCGTATAAAAAAAAACACGTCGAAAAGCAGCTGTGCAAATCTATAAATCTCTAAAACCCATCAAATGACGTAATGAATAATGATAATGAACGTTTTTCACATGACTTGTACGTTTTGGTTTCATGTTCAGTGTCATGGGCGACGCGCCCTCGCCCCCTGCACCACTTAAGTACCGATTCGCTTAAAAAAACACAAATACACAGGACTGGCTTCGACTTGTACTATTTTTGCGCCTCGTGTTTCCTCATTTGGCATTAAAATCGTGTGTTTACTAATAAGAATAATAAAAAGATAGAAGATGTTCATCATGTTCATTTAAAACCCTGTTAAAAATATTCCGTTTCGTGTTTCTGTATCGTCTTCGTTTCATACCCCAGCTTACGCGGGATGGTTTTAATCAGGGACCTCCCTGTAGGGAATCTCGGATGTCACGTTGAATCCTTCAAAGTAGTGCGTGAGGAATTCGAATGTGGGCCGATTCTCCGGCTTGTTGTCCCAACAGCTCAGCATTATCTTGTAGATATCATCAGGCAGGTAATGCGAGGTGGGTTTGGGCATGCGATAGCCCTTCTCAACTTGTTCGATGACTTCACGTCCATGCATGCCCGGATACGGCACTTGTCCGAACGTGAACAGCTCCATCAGTAGAATACCGTACGACCAGACGTCGGATTTGATCGAAAACCGGCCGTAGACAATCGCTTCAGGCGCCGTCCACTTGACAGGGAAGCGAGATCCTTGCTTGGGGCAGTATTCATTATCTTCGATAACGCGCGCAAGTCCAAAGTCGCAGATCTTCGCGATGTTGTTCTCACCGATCAATACATTACGCGCGGCGAGATCACGATGAATTAATTGTTTCGTCTCTAAGTATTCCATGCCGGAGGCAACTTGGAAGGCGACATAAATCAAATCTTCGAAATCCAAGGTTTTACCTTCGTCCTTTCGTAAAAAGTCCAACAAACTGCCTTTCGACATGTATTCCTGCACGATATAAATCGGCTCCTCCTTACTGCAAACAGCATAAAGAGCAACTAGTCGCTTATGCCGGAACTTCTTCATAATCGCAGCTTCTTGTAAGAACGCCGCTGTGGACATGGTGCCTTCCCGCAGCGTCTTCACAGCGACTTCAATCGAATCACGCCACTTGCCGTAGTAAACCTCACCGAAGTTACCCCTGCCCAAACGTTTGATCAACTTGATCTCATCGCGAGGAATCTCCCAGTCGTCGCGGAACGCCGGGCCAAGGTCCCACATCTGCGGCTGTGGTTTGGGGCACGGCTTCGAGAGAACGTGACACAATCCGAATGCATTGCCTGCAAAAATACGAACGAACGTGAGAATGCAAAAGCCTCAAAGCTATGCATAGCAAGTATACGATAAGTGGATGCGAATCTGATCGCAGGGAGAGAAAGGGCGGAGGACTTACGTGAATATGCTTGCACCAACTCGGAGAGGGTGAGGAATGTCTTGTTCGTCGAAATGTAGAAGCCGCCGTTATCCAACGGCTTGATTTTATAGTGCTTGACGTGATAGCCGCGCATCTCCTCCCAGTCCTTCACGGATAGTGAATAACCGTGTGGATTATGCTCGGATGGACGTACGAGGAAGGTTCCCCTTGCGTTTTCCTCGGCCAACAGCAGCTTATCTGCTTCTTTACGCGATACATTCTCAAAGAACCAACTAAAACAATAAATCAACATTTAATACACAAATAAACGCAATCGAAATGCATTCACTTACTCTTCGCTCTCGACGCTCAATTCAGGAGCAACAAAATTACCAGGAATAAATCCTTGCTCGCCAGTGGTTAAGTGAATGACGTTCAGCCAGTCGCCGTCAGAGTCGTCGATCACTTCCATGCGGTCGCCTTTCTTGAAGGAGACGTCGCTCACATCGCGCTCCTTGTAGTCGTAGACGGCGACGACGATGCGCGTCTTGGAGATTTGATTGTTGCGCGTCGGCGTGTGCTTCGTCCGAATGATGTCTGCATGACTGCGCTGCGGATCCGGCGTGTAGCGTGGATTCTGCTCCAATATATTATTCAATTTGCCTGCAAACACACAAGAATCACACTTGAGTAACCTGCCAACTGCCAACTACACAAACACTTCCATACAAATCACATTAGCACATGAATAATGCAAAATTAAGTTTTCTTGGTTATATACTTGATTATGTAGACTACCCTTATCACAGGTGGTAGTAGTGAAAAGTAGTCTTCTTAAAATTAATTTCGGTTTAGTGCCAGCGCTGTTCATTAACTCGGTATAACTTGAAGTCGTTGTAATCAAGTGGAATTGACTCAACTTAGTTTGTTTCACGGAAACTAGCGTTCGCTGCCGGCCAAATTTGAAAGTCCTAATCGCATTAAGACGGTATTGTGTTAATGCTCGCGTATATTTGCATAATTAATGCGCGTTAATTCGTTTGCGTTGATTACTATTACCGCACAGCTTTACTCTACACACGAGAATACGCAAAAGAAGCGGAGAAAATTAACAATTAAGGTCAAGTTTAAAACAAAAGCAAATAAAGACCAATTATTACATAAATGTTATATTTTCGTAGTAAATAATTATACGCTTAAAAATGATTTTGCTTTGTAGTGTTTTTAAGAAGTTCAGCGTTGTGAATACATTAGTGTTATCTGGAGTACACGAATATAAGAGAATCGCAGACGTTCGGTCATGAACGGCTCTCTTATCGTGCGATTCGTGTGCGTGCGTCGTTTGAGGCATTAGGAGCGTTTCGCGTCTCGCATTCCATCGAGAAACCTCAATTTCCGCTCGTTCAAGCGCAAGTACAAGAACTTCGAATTAAGGTCTCAACCACTCGACACGCATTACACTCGGATAAAAGTAATGAATGATTTTTTAATCCTTTAAGGTTAAGTTACAATTAAAAGCGTATTTTAGGCGAACTATTGATGAATACTTTTGTTTATGTCGTCACGGTCTAAGGCACTGCAGATATTTGCTAACAAAGGAAGTCATAACTTAGCGTTCGTTTAATTATTGCTGATTAGTGCAATATTGGGCGTCGCCATGCGATGCCGCCACGCACGCATGCCTGCACTGACGATTAATTTGATTATTACTCAAACTCATTACAAGTTGAGAAATAATTAGCAAACCGTGATCGCTAAATTGCCTTAAATACACAAATAACAGTATTGCAAAATAATCAATTCGTTTTGTAACCTATAAAAAAACTTGGATAAATTGTTTACTTAGTGACTTCCTGAGAGTTTATTTTTTACACTTTGCGCGTTTAATCTTTTCCCGGAAACTAAGCCACGACAAGTGCACAGCAAAGAATAAATCCATTATCTACGCGATACACTGAACGCACAGCGTCTTGCCCGCGTCGTGACAATTAAAAACTTTACAGACATCTTCATCAGTCAATTTAACAAACGCGGCGCCGTTCTATCGACAAGTTCCTCGAAAGCGTAAGCCGTGAAAGCGCAAAAAGTCCCAGAGGAAGCACGGAAAAAGAGTGCAGCGATCATTAATCATTTTTTTTCTCATCAACAGTTCTTGACAATTTCAAATTAGATTACAAATAAATATTGCAGTGCATATACAAAGATGTATATATGGTTGCCTATGTTTTGAGGTTATTTTAATAAATTAAATTTTATTTCTTAAATTCACAAAAGGCTAAAATCTTCTCACAATCGTGTCGCGAAGCAAGCAGACTGTGTGTAATCCATCCATGCCCACGATGCATAAAACGTTCCTTCCATTAACGCCGCCATTAGACAAAAACCGAATGCTTGCTCCCCGGCCTGATTGAGATTGAGACACCGGCGACAAAACTCTACGCGTGCACGCTCTTAATGATCATTAATCATTCACGTGCACCAGCAAAGTTTTATAATTTCACACACTACTTCGTTAAAAATTCTCGTCTGCCGCTGACGCGTACAATTCCAACCGAAAACGACTTAAAAAATTGTCTCAGTACAAAAAACATTTTAAAAAATGTCTGTTTTGGTCATTGCGTTATTAATTATACCACGAAGCATTGTTTAATAACAAAAAAAAACACTAATTAACTAAATTGAGATGTTCTAACGTTTAATTTAATTAAAAATCATGATAAGAGTTGAGTGTAGTAATAATAAACGTCATAAAAACGTTATGTACGAGATTAGAGCTTGGCTAACTGTGGATAATCTATTAGAGGCGAAGAAAAGAAAACTCTTAAAAATCCGTGTGTGTTGATTTGTGGTTTACCTTCGAGGCCCGGATTGAGTCCGATGAACGTTTGCTGCTGTCGATGCCGCGGCCGCTTCTGGGCGCAGCACAAGCAATTACCCATGACGTCGGCGTCGATGTGCTGCTCGCTGTCTAGGTCAGTAAAGGTGCACCAGGAGGTTCATCTGCAACACCCACAAGAGAAGAGTTAGTATAGTATTAAAACGGTACATTCGAGATCCTATAATAAATATTACAACAACATACTCTCACAATATACAATCTACACGTATAAAGCATAGTGTGTTAGTTACATCGCTTATAACTCAAGAACCGCTGGACAGATTTTGATCATCTATGATTTTTTGGATTCATATCCGCCCCGAATAGGATAATAATTAATAAAATATCGAAAATTATGATTCTAAACGTGTTAAATAAGGGATGAACGTTTATATAGGGATTTAATCAGTTATAGTTAAATAATTGAAGCAGAGATGGCGCTAAAGTGCATTATCAATATTTAAAATTTTAAAAAAATAAAATTACTCAACTTATTGATGCAATCGACACGCTTTAAGTCTTAAGTAATTAATTTTTACTTTTTTTTACAAAAATTACGAAGTGACGAGTAAAAACTAATATACAATAGATTACAGGTTTCTATAATTTTAAATTCACCAATATGTTTAATAAAATAAAATAATTTCAGGTCAAGATGAATTTACCACGCGAGAGCTTGAAAGTAATTTTGCATTTTGCCCATTTTAACCAAACGCGGTATTCAGTATTCAAAAGGGAAGTCTGTCGCCGATTATATTCAACGAAGGCGCCGCAAACGCGCATACGAAGTGATCCGCGAAGATGCATGTAACGCATACGCGTACTTAAGAAAATTAAACGATGATGCTGAGTTGTTACAAACAAACCAGCGCACATTCGACTCTGCAAATTCGATCGCGAACGCGCTCACCGTCTGCTGCACTATAAATACGACTAGGGCTATATATAAATGTATGTAAATAAATTTCAATGAATTTGTATCAAGTAAAATCTAATAAATTGTACTATTACTGTTAGTGTATCAAATACAAGCGATATTTTAGACATTGAGGCAATTTTAACCTTAAAATTGTTTAAAGTTGGGTTATGTCAGTCAATGACACAAAATTGACAGATGGAAATATGTCAACTTGTAAAATGAGGTTATGTGAGGTTATACACAGTAAAAATCATCATCTAAACTTCTTCTGATGCATGGTTAAACAGATTTCTAAGTTTTCTTAGGTGACTTTTGCGTTTCTAATAAATTGCTCAGTAAATTGATGAGTTACAGATTTCAGCGGCTTCCTCGCCGCGCCAGTATACCACATACATGAATGCATGCATGCTGAGGCTGTCAAGAGAGCAAAAAAGAAACGTAATTTGCAATTTCCCGTGCGGTGCTTAAGTTTAACTGGGAGAGCAGCGCGCAGGAGTGAGCAAATTTGCTTTCGCTGCGCTTTGCAATCGCGCTGCAGTTAGCTTTACTCTATTGGCGCTGATAGCGCGAAATTGATTGCTTTAGATTTTCCATGGCGAGCTTAATCGATGTGCCAAACTCGCATTAAAGCGCAATATGTTGATCGGCAATTGATTTCGCGCTTGCGAATCGGTTAAAATTCAATTAATTTTGAAATAGAAAATTTTGTTCCGATTTTGTACTATAGGCAACCCAAAATACAAAAAATTGTCATCCATGTTGAATCAGTCACATAATTTTAGAGAATTCGGTTATATTTTGCACTATAGGCAACCAAAAATACAAAAAATTGACATTCATGTTGAATCAATGAATTTAATTTATAAATTTGGCAAGTATAAGAATTTCTACACCTACTAAACACATTCTAATGACTTTGTGCGTTGGGAATTTGTTCCAGTGCCAGGTTCCGTCATAAATCGGTTTGTCGATATTTATAAACAAGCGACTGCCTCCAATCTAAATCTATTTCAATCCTTCAAATACGCATGTCGACGTCGTGCTGGGTGAGTGTCAAGTTATGTGTTATAATGGTAATAATATCTCGTCGAACTGGTTGACCGAGGTCCGAGGAAATACTGTTAGCTACGCCAGCGTGCAATTAAGCATCGTTTTTTGCGTTAGCGGTCTTTTACTTGACATTTCGTTATTTTTCCTCCATTCTCTAGTAATAGAATTCTAGTACCAGAATTTCAAATCTTGAAATGAATTTCCGTGTTTTCCTACAAATTAATACATTTAAGTACGCGAAGCATTCGAATAGCAAAGATATCTACGGATTATGGCAACGTGGCAGTAATCATGATAAATCTTTGATGGCCAACATTCCGATTGCAAATCTCTTTGCGCGTCGCTTGAAATTCGCCGACAAATTCAACTTAAAAGGCATCGCACGCCGCAGCCAGAGTCGCGTATGCATCTTCCTAACTGTTTCTAACCACCAGCGAACAAATATTCATCGTTCTATCAACAAATCATCGCTGGTTTCCATCGGCGTACCCGCTTGATTGCAATTCGGACAAAACGAGCATGAGAATTGCTTTTTAATTTACTAATCCTATTTTATTCCCATTTTCAATAACACGCTGAATGTTTTCAAACAGAGTTCTCCGCGCGGTCATTGTGATTAGTTTGTAATTAACCGTAATCCGCGTCGATAAGTAAAAGCCACGGCATGCAGCAATGCGTGGTGTGTAACATTGCGGTGCTCTTCTCTTCAGACTCTTCATAACTTCGCTAATTGTCGGCATTAGCGAGTAATGTCTCTGATTAATTGGCGTGTTTCTTGTTAAGGCCGCGCAGAATGTGCACACAATGACAAGACTTCAATGAAGTTGAATAATGCGCATAACTGTATGGCTATTGTGAAATGCAACAAATCACAGAAAAGTGCACAATCAAGAAAGTAAATGATGATAAAATCACAACAATACTAATTGTTCATTATGGGGAGTTAATTTATTTTATTGTGGGTGTAAATTTTAATAAAAAAAAAGCTTAATTAATTATTTTCTTGTTTCTTGAATCGGTTATAAAGCAAATTGGTCAATAAAATTCTTTATTTTATTTTTGAAGCTATAAAATTTGAATTTTAACTTTCAACTCTTATTTCACACCCTTCTAGTTATTTTTTGTGATAAAAACTAGCATATTTGCTTTTCCATGGCCTAAAATATATCTCTACCAAAATTTATCAAAATTCCTCCAATAGTTTTGGCAGGAAATCGTCACAAACATACAAAAAATATAATAATACTCAGAATAAGTAAAATATTTTGCAAGTTGATAATTTTGTGGTTATCTTAACTAAAAAATTGTCATTTCAAACATAAAACACAACGTTTACAGACCTGAAATGTAACTAATGTATAATTAAAGATAACAGCATTAAAACACGCAATAAAATATGTAATTTTATGAATATGACAAAAGACAAAGCAAATGTTGCATCCAAAACTAAACATTAGCCTAAAATACGAAATGAGACTCGTAAAATTCACACTTTATAATCTAAAATTCCAAAGCTTTATTGCACCGTGACAATCACTATCTCCATGCCATACGAAATGAAAAAGCCATTAAAATATGCCCACGCGAAATAACATATAAACGCATTGCACACACGTGAACAATCGCATTAATAAAACCGAAATCGGTTCGCCACGCTTTGCATTGCTTCCCGCTACATAAACACACTTGATTCAATTTACATGTACGCCAAATAATCACTGATAAAATCGCAGATATCTTCGAACAACTACTCCAATTTCCAACAGCTTGACACCCAGTTTAGTCTCTCAACTTCGATTTCATTGCTCTGAATAACATAAGACTGGTCTATTGTGTCATTATTATTCATTTAGTTGCGTTGAAGATAAGGGTTTCCCAAGAGAACAATTACACGTGATAACTTGTTTTGACTGAGTGACAAGTTAGTTATGAGTAATAAAGTTTAACGAGTTTAAAATAGTTGAGAAAAATATTCGTGTTATGAAACGATGATAAAATTTTCCTCCGTTGTAGTTTATTAAAGTAAAAGAGGTTATGATCGAGATTATGATTACTATAACAACTAGAAAATTAGCAATAAAATGTGCCGTTCGTCGGTTAGTGGTTTGCACATGAGCAAACAATACGCGTGCGTAAAATTCGTCCGAGTGCACATTCCGGACGTAAATTCGATTCATCGTCACTTCCGCATTAAACTGCGAAAGCACGGAGAAGAATAAATAATTGAATAAGTAGCCGGCGAAATAACGTAATAAACTGTGAAATGCCCACCATTGAGCATGGTATCTAGAGCTTGGCGTTCAAATAAAGAAAAAAATCAATTAAGTGCTGTAAAGATGTAAATTGGGTTGCATAACTATAATACCAACATAAAACGTTGATATAAAAATCTAGTTTCTTTTTATTTGCAAGACGATGAGGTGGTAGGCATGAGTATCACTTGGTTGTTTCATGGCGGATTGAGGATGCGCGATTTTCAGGTCTAATAAAGATCAATCATTTCCGGCAGCCGAGCGAGAAAAAGAGTCGTCGCTTCTGAAAGCGCATTCGACTCGCCGCTGCGCTGGCAAAACTCGCATTAACAGCTTGAGTGAACATTCGCGTACTCGCCTAATGTATATAAATATAAATATTTTAATAAGCCATATCTGCGGGCATAATTTGCACTCGTTCGTCGGCGAAGTAAAAGTGTGTGGGATAATATCATGCACGTAACCGGTTGCGGTAGAGACATCCAGCAGCAAGTTACGGAAACGAAACCGGCAGCAAAAGGGATTAGGGATAAGTTTTAAATAAATAAATTATTTCACAAACGTACCAGGCAAATATGATTTTTATGCCGAGTATGAAAAACTTTGCCGCGTTTTGAGGTTAGAATCAAATAACTTTCAAAGAACTCTTACAGCATGAATGCACACAGTGAAAAAGAAAAAAAGTTCCAAAAGAATACGAAATTTGATAAAGGAACTTGAAAGGAAACGAAAAAATATCGCTGAAAGCGATGAAAATGTATAGAAATGGTATTGAAACTCGTGAAATAATAAAAGAATGTCGACTTTTCACTAATATTTCAACAAAAGCCTCGAAAACAAATCGATTTTTGATGTCAACACAAAAGAAAACCTCATTTACATAATTGAATTGCACATATAC